CTCTTGGAATAAAGAAAAATGAGGTCGGCAATAAATTGCTGACCTCAAACTGTTAGAGGTTGGATTCAGGTCGGACTAAAAAAAAAAAAATACAATAATGAAGTAAATACATTTTAAAATCTTTTCTCCGTAAAAATTACAAGCCTATACTATATATTATATAATATTAAAAACTATTTAAATATAAAACTTAGAGAATATATAGTACATTATGTACACTATAGCCATGAAATAATAAACTAATAACTAAGTTAAAATGTAATAAATAATCTTCTTTTCTAAATCATTCAAAAGATTCTGGAACAACAGCTCCATCTACAATTAAACTATGTACAATTCCTTCACGAATTTTCCCAGAGCTTACACCTGATATTACACAAACATGATCACGAATTTCAAAGTGTGTTTCTGTTCCTTCATCTCCAAATTCACCCTGTAATAAAAGAACTGTATACTACTTTCACAAAATATTTTGCTGACAGTCAACTAATAAATATTATACACAACTATAATTTAATATAAACCATATTAAAAAAATAACCTAAAATATTACACAATGCAGATATAAAATAGGAAAACATTTGTAATATTACATAGTATAGATATATAACAGTGTATAAATATACTACTATATTACAAAAATACATAATAGCAAAATAATATATAATAACAAACTAAAATAAGATTTGGTAATACCTAAAAATAAAAAACTTTTAAAAATCAAAATTAAATTTATTACAATGAATTTAATTTGATTTGGTAAAAATCAAAGGTAAAAGTAAGCAGCAGATATTTTATAACCAACTTAACAAATACAAATTTATTGTATTTGTTAAGTTGGTTATAAAATAACCAACTTAACAATATTATTATTAAAAAAAAATTGTTTTTAAAACAATTTTTTTTTAATCACCTTCGCTTCCAACAAGGCTGCAAGCAACAACTATTAGAATTGGAAGTTACTAAAAGAGAAAAAATAAAGTTTATAAAGCAAGATAATGATTAACAGATGCCTTAAAATATTGCAAATTATATGAATCAGGAAAACAAGATAAAGAAAGCAAATTCTATAGAACTGATGTTTGAAAAAAACTAGACAAAAAAGAATTTTTGGGGCACTAAGGAACATTATTCCCAGTAAAAGGATGAGTTTTGAATGATGAGTAACACGAGAATGAATTTTAGTAGATGGCACAAGAGACACTAGCTCTTTAGAGCAGCACCCATTATAGAAAAGAAAAAGATAAGCAACATTTCAACAATGTGACAATGGTTGAAGATTGACTGCAAGAGCAGGTCCAACTATGTTTAGAATGTGTTTTTGCACCTTATCTAAAAGAGAATGAACATCATTTGAAATTAGCTCCAGATATGGTAACAGTATTCCATACAAAAACGGATTAGAGGACAGATTAGAGTAGATAAAGAACAGCATTGGAAATAAGTGTTTATCCTAGAAGACAAAGGGTAGATGAATCATGGAGTACATTACCATGAAAGGAAGAATAAAGGAAGATCTAGAATATTATGATAATGATAAAAAAAAAATTGAGTTTTATCTGAGTTAAAGTTCATTAGCTAATGAGAGCCCCATGTTGTAGTAGAAGTGAGATCCTTTTCAAGCTCTAATGCCCCCTCTAAGCAATCAGAAAGTGTTGGCTTCTTAAGACAAGAATAAATGGTAATATCATCAGCGAACAAATTAATATGGAGCTTTTCATGAAATTATAGGAAATGAAGAAGAGTGCTGTCTATCAAGAACAACTTTTATACTACGACTGGTAAGGAAGCAATAATCTTAAAGATGTTACCTGATACACCCTAAAAAAAAAAGCTTATGGAAAATACCAGCATGCCATACCAGCATGCCAAACAAAGATTTTAGAAACATTGAGAGCAACATCTATCTAATACATAATATTACCATTAACAAATCAGAATGAGAAGATCAAAATCTATATTGATGATCAGAAAGTAAGTTATTAGATTCAAGATCTAATTAGTATTTGTTAATTAAAGATTAATTAAAAATTAATACGAATTTAAACATATTTAAAAACAAACAACCAAATTAATTTTTTAGAAACTTAAAATGTGTGCAAATAATTATGGGTTAAACAAATTAAAATATATGTAAAAAATGAAAATGTGTGTAAAAATACTGATAAAATTAATAAACCAGGAAACATTAGGTTGGCAACTAACAACTTAATATCTCTTGGTTTAGTAATTTTACCTTTTTTCTCCAACTTTAAATCTTCTTAACCTTACCCCCCCCCCCCTGTTTAATAATTTAGAGGTTTATTTCTGCTCACTTGCAAAAATGCAAGAGGATCAACTAAACTATATCAACATTAGAAGCATTTCAAAAACATACTTGTTATCTTAATTGAAAAGTGCATTGAAAATAGAGAAAAATAAAACTGCAATATTGATTTCCTGATCATTGAAATGATCAGGAAATCAATATTGCAGTTTTTTTTTGGAAACAAAAAAAAACTGCAATATTGATTTAGAAACAAAAGCCCCATATTAATTTGAAATCACAGTAAAAAAAATTAAAATTTAACATACAAAAATTTCTACTGATAACAGTTTTGAGAACATATAATATGTTTATATTCTATTTTTATTCTAATATGCATGTCAAACATTCATCTTTTTAATAAAACTTACTGCAGTTTCTAAAACATTTCCATTGACCCAAACATCCATAGTATCCTTTTCTAAATAAATAATGCGTTAACTTGAAATTATTATTAATTACAATTATTACTAAATAAAAATATAACTATATTCAATAATATTTTATAAATATATTTCTATAAATTTCTGAAAAATTCTTTAAAAAATAATTTTTAAATTAATTTAAACTAAACTTAATCAAATATTAAAAAAATTTGATTTGATTGTTTTTTATTAGAAAACTTAATTATTAGTAAAATCATACCTAAAACAACTCTAGTCTCTATTCCATCCAATAATAATGTCCATACTTTTGCAGTCTTTTTTCGATTCTCTTTGAACTTATTTAAAGGTTTTCCATTAATTAATAAAGTATATTCATAAGTAAAACCATTACAGGCTTCTATTAAAATAACTGCTTTTGCACTTCCAATATTAAAGTCTTGTCGCCCAACTAATTTGAACATCCAGTTTTTACGGAATATTTCAGTTTCATCAACCCAAACAACACGCTTTCCTGAAGTTGTACCATGTTCAAATTTTACTTGATGATTTCCATCTGGTAGCGATACATCCCAAACTGCTACAACATCAGAAATATTAACTCCTGACATCTTTATTTAGCAACAACAACTTGATGTATACAGTTTTTAATGAAAATTATCCCGATATAAAAAATTGCAGAAAAAGAGCATGCTATTACATTATAAGATAAAATCTATTATTAACATTACATATACATCAACATAAATATATGCGTACATATACATGCCTTCCTAAGGCCTAGAAGACCATTAAAGCCAAGAAGGCTACACCATTTTTACTTTGATTGTAGTTACATACCTCAATCAACTTTAAAACTTCAAAATACAAATGTTAAAAAATTAGAGACCAGGTCTCAAAAAATATTTACTATAACCTCACTTTATAAATATTTACATATATACCACAATTTGTATATACATATATATATATATATATATATATATATATATATATATATATATATATATATATATATATATATATATATATATATATATGTATATATATATATATATATATATATATATATATATATATATATATATATATATATATATATATATATATATACATATATATATATATATATATGTATGTATATATATATATGTATATATATATATATATATATATATATATATATATATATATATATATATATATATATATGCACACACACATACAAATATAATTGCTTAATTAGCCTTGTAAAAAATTTGGGCAACTGAGACAATTGTTGTATCACTAAATGAAATGTAATGAAAAGTCATTGATCACATACTGAAAAAAATATTATAAAAATGATTTTTTTGTAAAGATTCTTTGTTTTAATTTTTTATATTGTTTTATATTGTTATTACAATGTTTAAAAACATAATAATTTTAACAATAATATCACAAACTTTTGTCATTAATACTTTATCATATTTTTATTTTCAATAAATTCGGAATTTTGATTTTAGATTTGAGCCTTAACCTAATTTCTTACAATGTTTTTGAATACAATTTTTGGCTTTTTGCTTCTAACTAAATAGTTTTTTTTTTTTTTAAATGTGGGGAAATTAATGCAGGACTTTAATGCTAAATGTAAATTTATATTTGGTTCAATGGTTGTAACAGAGCTACATATAACTTAGGTACTAGGTATATGATAATATACTAATACCTAATTACAGCTTATACAGTATCAATACAGTAATGTATATGCAACCATCAGGTAAAGTTAAAACATTTAAACAATTTTAAACACCTTTTAAAAGGTATTTAAAAGTTGTATATCTATAAACTTCAAAGTAATTCAATAAACATGATTGATCATTTAAAAAAGATATCAGTTGACAGTTTAAAAAATATATGAATTGAGAAAATAAGTATATAAGATTAATATTTTACAATAAATGCAAAAAATAAAAATAAACTTTTTCTATTGCATAAAAAATTGTTTTAAAAAACAAATTTATATTGCTTGTCTAAAAATTAAAAAATATAATATATAATACCTAAAAATTATATTTCTTTAGAATAATATATAGTGAAAATATACCCAAAAAAAAAAAAAAAAAAAAAAGAAAGCTTTGATGATCAAAAACTTTAAATAACACAAATATTTATTTTGATAGTTAAATACAAGCTTTTTAAATTTTAGCTTAAAAAAGATTATCTTTTTTATTATCAACCAAGTATTAATTATTTAAACGACAATCATATAAGTTATGAATTGAAAAAGTAGATTCAAAGATTTATTTTTAAAAGCTTCAATTTTGAAACACAAAATAAATTATTTATAAATTATCCTTAACATATTTTTAAAATGATTTTAATTTTTAAAAAAACTAGCAATTCTTTGAAAATATAATAGTTAGGTAAATAGTTGAATAATTAAATTTTTTGTTTTTTGATTTTTTTTTTAATTTTATTTTTTTTATTTAAAAAAAAAATAAAAAAGAATAAATAAAAAAACTAAAGAAAATTTAAAATAAAAAAACCTAAAGTAATCATCAAAATATTAAAATTAATTTCTTAAATTTATCAATTATTGCTTAAACAATCTCAATCATTTCATAGAAAAAAAATATTATTTAATTTATTTAGAAAGAAAAACCAAAAAATTTTATTTCAATATTCTTTATATTTCTATGGTTTGCCTGAAAAAGTGTCTGGTCTTTCAAAATTATAGAGAGCAGAATATATTACGTACATGCAAACATCTCATACATATATAAACCTAATTTTATTTAATAAAATATAAATGCAAATATTTCATATATATAATTTAAAAATTTATTAACTTATAAAGTTCATATTCAGTTGTGTATTTATACACATGTGTAAACTGTAACCAGCATTGGTGTCTTAACTCTTCATTTAAAATTATCATAATTTTAGTCTTCCATCTCTAATAGATCTGATAACTAAATAATAATAATAACTCTAATGAAAATAATAACAATAAAATCAAAAAAAAAAAAAAAATTAAAACATAAACAAAAATAATAAACATGTCACAAGATAGATAGAAAAACAACTAAAAAGAATAAAAACTATTATTAAAATTACAAAGAGTAATGTTTTAATCAATGAATTATTATTATTTACTACATATTATTGTACAATCATACAATTATTATATGGAATGAAATGTTTCTTATAATAAAACTATAAAAAAAAAAAAATGTTTTGTAACACTTTTTAAGTTAGGAATAAGAAAAAGCTAAACAACAAGTAAAATTCTGTAAAGAAAATCAGGAGCAAAAAGGTCAATAAAGAAAGTAAACAGTGGGAGCACACTTAAAAATAGATCATAGTAATTTTATGCAAATGTTTATATGAACAAAATATTTTATAAAAAAAATTAACTTTTACAAAATAATTTTTCTTAAAAAGGTTAAAAAACTATCATCATTATTTTTCTAATATTGATGGCCTTCAAAATAACATTCCTTCCATTATATCTTTTATAAAATTCACCACACCTAACTGTTAGACTTTTAAAATTGAACAATTTTGTTTTGATGTGTTGATGACTATTATACAAAAATTTTTATTGTCAAATGCTTAGCTAGGGCATATACTTACAAATCAATTTTCCTATTAGCTGTGGAATTAAGTTTAAATCTTTTAACCAATTTTGCATGTGCATTCGTTTAGCAACACTTTACACAACTCTCTAACTTTTTTTTGATTGCTTACAACTAAAATTTTTATATGCTTGATATTGATTAGATTAAAGTTGTCTAACACTTTTATAATACTTTTATATGCTTGATATTGGTTAGATTAAAGTTGTCTAACACTTTCATAATACTTTTATATGCTTGATATTGATTAGATTAAAGTTGTCTAACACTTTCATAATACTTTTATATGCTTGATATTGGTTAGATTAAAGTTGTCTAACACTTTCATAATACTTTTATATGCTTGATATTGGTTAGATTAAAGTGGTCTAACACTTTCATAATACTTTTATGAAATAAAATTATTTCAGCAGATTACTTTTGCGAAATATGAAACATAAGAATATAAAACTGCAGAGATATTTGAAAAGTCATTAAAAATATCATTTAACATAAATGAAAATAGTAAATTAAAATGGCCGTAGTTTCATTAAATCAAAATGGCAGTAGTATCGTTAATAAAACACTCAAATCGTATTAACTCTTCTGAGGATCAAAATGAACTGTTTATAAAGTGCTTTTTTTTTAATCTCTTGATTCTATTAAGTGAAATCATCCTGACATCCATTATTAAAATTTTACACACTCCAATTACTTAGGCTTCCATTGCTATTTTATATTGCATTATTATGCAATGTTATTTCTTACATAAACTTTTTTACAGGTAAACATTTGGAAATTTCAGAACTTAAAATGAAGTTGTTGCAAAAGTTTTGCATTTTAAAAACAAATACAAAACAATAAACGAAAAAGATGAAAAAAATCAAACCATATAATAATTGTATTATTAAAGTAGCAAATAAAATAACCTTATCAGTGTAGCAAGTCGGTAACAAATTTAGTGAAGAACTATTTGATGATAACTCAATGATTTCTTTTTCGCTAGTAACCCCAGTAAGAACACATAATGTTTGCATGCCACAATCATTTCCAAAAACAATATCTGTATTTAACCTAAAATAAAAAATATGCTATTTGTTGAATTAACTAATAATTTATAAATAATAAAAAATAACTCTAACATAAAGACCTCACCTATCTCCAATCATGAGTGATGTTTTTGAATTTATACTATATCTAAATAAAAATGTATATCTTGCATATTTATATATATACATATATATATTTATATATATATATATATATATATTTATATATATATATATATATATATATATATATATATATATATATATATATATATATATATATATATATATATATATATATATATAATATATAGTGGCTGCTTAATATTTAGTGACACTTATTTTGAAGGTTCCAGCCTGCTTCATTAAAATGCAAATATTAACTACACTGTAGGCATGCATTTGATTCATTTGTTAGTAGGTCATGTCACAGCACATATTTTTTTGTTGACTATTCTATTAAATTGTTTTAACAAAAATAGCCACGATACACGAGTTATGTATAAATGTATCCTACTCTTCAAACTATTTAAAAAGATTACAAAAATAAACAGTTCTGGTGTACCTACCATTTCTGAAATAATTTAAGAAGTTCCTATAGACAGATATAGCACAAAGAATTTCGAACTTATTAAAAATAAAATCTTCATTACAAACTTAAAACAAGGTTTAATTTTAATGAAAATGATAATTTTACAATTGTCTTTTTTATTGGTGCACATTCCAAAACTAATTTCTTGGAATGAGTTAAAACACAACAAGCAAACAAAAAAAAATTTCAAATGCTCTGAGAAAGATTGTAATGAGCGACATACATCACAGTATTTTTCTGTGTAAGATTAGGTCAGTGAAAGGTTTCATCTTTCACAATGAAAAGCTGCTTGACACCAATGAACAATCACTGGTGTGTAGTAGCACCAATACAGCTCCACTTCACAAGAAAAAAAAATGTAAATGAAATCAATTAAACTAATCTCTACAGAAAATATGTACACATATGAAGATTTGAAAAAGAAAAGTCAAATTGCAAATAAGTTGTTTTTTACATAAAACTGTTTGCTCAAATTAGACCCTTAGAAAAAGTGATCAGTAAACTCAATACATAATCTGAAAGAACTTGCTTATATTTTACAACATATACTGCAGAATTCTCAAAGAGTTTAAAGTTCCCAATATCAATAACCTTTTTTTTAATCCAAGTTATAGGATAATATTAATACAAATTCCCAATAATTTGTAGAACAATAACAATAAATATTTCCAATATCACAAAAAGGGGTTAAAAAATATACTCCTTGCTAACACCCTGCTTACCACTGATAGATTTCAAGTATCAATTTTGCTAATTATTTATTAAAATAAAAAATAAAAAAATAGGTATATGCAATCCTTTTTTAAAGTGTTTTTTTGTTTTTTGTTTGTTACAATTATGAATTCAGTATTTGGCCGAATAGTTTTTAATATGCAATAACAATTAGTAGAAAAAATAGTTGAATAGACCAAATAAAAAAGTAGTTGAATAGACCAAATATCGAATTTTTAAATCAAAACTAAAAATAAATTGATTTTGTAAATCATTTTACTATCTACAACTAAGAAAATAAATTTACCTTTTCAAAGCTGTGTCAAACATCAATCTGTTAGGCTTTCCGACAATAATAGGTTGGCGCTCTGTTGCTGTAGAAACAGCATTGACTATACAGCCAGTACCTTTAAAAACATGCATCATTAAAATACATAAAATTTTAGTTTAAAATTAAATGATAATAATTAACACAATGAATGTTATAATGAAGAATAAAAATAAACATAAAAAAAATAATAAAAATAAATAGAATCTAAATCTCACAACCTGGTCCAATCTTTCCATTACCAATAGGAAAAGTATTATCAGTATTTGTAGCAATATATGGAATGCAAGGATCACTTAAATACTGCATGGCAGCAGCAATATGATGCAAGCTAAACTTTGGATCATATGCAACAATCACAGCACCAATCTATATCAGTGCAAAATAAATATTTCATTATTATAGCAAGTACAATATCAACCTGTTTTAATAAAGACTTATAGCTATGTTATTGTCCAGAGTTCAAAATTTGTGTAGTTAGGACAGATTTCTGTTATCCCATTTTCTTAATTTAAAATGACACTATGATACAATTATTATTATAAATTACGAATGAAACAATTTTTAACAAGTAGATTCCCTTCTCGGTATTTTGTGTTACTAACATTTAGAAGATTACCATCTAGGTTTACAGGCTTCTCACAATAAAATTGAGTTTTTTTTTTTATCAGAGTTTTCCTTCCCTTTAGTAAAGTTCAACAAGGAGACACAAAACTTGTACCAAGACAAGCACAAATCATACAAAAAACACTTGTAAATTTTAAAGCTTAGAAACTTTTAAAACCAGAAGAATTAAAGACAACCTCATCCAATATATTGAACTAAAACCAAATATAAATATAAACAAAGTAAAATGATACTTAACTTAAAAGCTCTGTTTTTGCACTGATTGTCATCAGAAGTTCCAATTGACAAAGCAATTCCAATAACTATCGATAATTTAAACAACAACATTGATAATCTTAAAAAATGAACCAAACTAGTGCCTACTGATATACATGAAATAGTTGAACTCTGCTTCAACCAATATTAATTTTTACACAAAAATTAAATAAGATCTATACTGAATTTGGGCCCTATAGGATCTATACTGAATTTGGGCCCTATAGGTTTGTCTTTAACAGTTGTAGTAGCTGAGGCATTTTTACAACATTTAGAAATAAAAGCTTTTATTATTGTTGATATTGATCAACTTTTAACAAAAACTTGCAGAAGACACATAGATGACAGTCATGCTAGATTTAGCTTAATACAAAACCATGATAAAGTTCTGGAATTATTAGACAAACAAGATCCAGCAATAAAATATAAATTTGAAAAAGAAAATAATCAAAAAGATTTAACTTTATGGATATTATTGTAACCAACACTAATAACTTCAAAATCCAAAAGTAGTTATTGGTGTTTTTAAAGGTTTGTAATTTATGCCATTAAAATTTGTTCCACTAAATATTATAAAAATAATGAAATACAGTTTTTAGATAGCATGTTAGCAGAAAACAGGTGCAGTAGATCAAATCTCTAAACAATTACAAAGAGTTATTTTCAGAAAAGAAAAAACCTTTCCAATATAAATAAAAATAAAACAAAAACAAACAAATATATAGTTAAACTTCCACGGCTCCTAAAAATAGGGCAAAAACCTAGAATAGAACTTAAACCTTACAACGTCAGAATAATTTTTACTACACCACCTACTACACCACCTTCATTATAAAAAATATGCGACAAGTCAAAATTAATTCTGGTGTCTACAAACTCACATGCTCTTGTGGCAGTATATACATTAAGAAACAAAAAAGGAACTTCTAACAAGAACATCTGAAACTGAACTGAACATCAAAAAAAACTATTTAAAAGGTAAGTAAAAAATTTTAAAAAAAGTATCCCAAAAAACAACTGGACATCTTTGTTTAAAAAAAATTATCCTAAAAATGAATTAAATAATACTTGCTATTTTTAATATTTTATTAACTTATAATTAAATTTCTTATTGCTATTTTATATATTCACATTGTTGTTTTTATATTTTATATTTATTTTTATATTTACATTATGCAATCATTTATTGTTACTATTTAATGTCTTTGACATTTTTATGCAATATTTGTAACAGTTTTTTGTAACTATATTTTACTACTGATGACGATATGAACATATATATTTGTGAGTGTGTGTATATATATGTGTGTGTATATATATGTGTGTATATATACACACATATATATATATATATATATATATATCACACACACACACACACACACACACACACACACACACACACACACACACACACACACATATATATGTATATATATATATACTCACATATGTATATGTGTATGTGTGTGTTTATATATATATATATATATATATATATATATATATATATATATATATATATATATATATACACACACACACATATATAAACAAAAATTTACATACACCATTTTCTTTTGTAAAGCTTTCCATAAAATTCTTAGCTATATACACCTGGTTTTCCTCACTAAAAAAATGCAAACAAAACTATAAAATATAAATTAAAGACTCAAAATAAAGTAACAATGAAAAAGTGTTATCATAAACCTAAATTTTAAAACAAATAAAACTACTTGCTCTTATCAAAATCCATAATTCGTGTATGTACACTAAATGTCTATGGATGAAGAGATGGAAGGGATATGGAGGACCATGAGGGCTGCTTTATCAATCATTACAATTTGATGTAATGATTGATAAAGCAGCCCTCAGAATTAGGAAAAATAAGGTCAGCAAAAAACAATGAACCTAAAACTGTTTTAGGTTGGCATCAGGTTGGCACAAATTTTTGAAACAAGGTTCAACAAACTGACAAACATGTGAACATTTAACATAAAATTGACTGAAAAACATACGCTAATTTTGCTAACTTTTTTTTCAAACATCAGTGTTTTCTTAAAATTTTGAAAAATGAGTGCAGCATATTACCATTTTAGTAAAACATTGCCAATTTCTATTTAAATTCTATTTGTGTAAACAATTAATTTAGTAAAATAATTTGTAAATAATTTTATATACTCTAATTAGTAAATTAAGTTAAGAAAAAAGGATTTTCAATTTATTTGAAAATAAAACAATTGTTATAAACAATTTTTTATTTTATCAAAAAAAACATTTCACATAACCAATTTAAAAAATATTATAAAAATTTTTTTTGAGTTTGTTTTTGATTACTCTTTTAAAAACCACATTGATTTTAAATATATCATGTTTTAATAAATGATAATAAAAAATAAAATTTTAATTATATACTCTATCCCACCAAATGAACATTTGAGGAATTATTTTTGAGCCTATTTTATTTCATGTGAAATGTTACACAAAGCCACTACTAATGAGAAGGAAAATAAAAAAATCCACTTCAAATTCATGTGGTTATGAAATGCAAGTCTACCAACCTTGGACAATTTTTTACAACCTGGCATGCAGACATAAAAAAAAAAATTTTAAACTTAATTCCAATGCCCCAAGGTTCAGGAGATCAAGCTACTTGTCAACTTGGCCACTAGAGTCAAGAAAGCTACCTGTTTTTATGTTGTTGTTTTTTTTGAACTTTTTTTTATTATTCATTTTATTTGAAACTCACTCTCAAATTTTTAAGTTTTTAGGTTTAAAAGACAATAAGGTTTGTGTTTTTTTAGGTTTTTGGATTGAGAAGACAACAAGGTTTGTGGTTATTTTTAAGTTGAAAATTATGTTCATGTTACTAATAGCAAAGTTTAATAATTTTTATGTTTAATTTTCATAGCGCTTTTACAAGCAAATTTTGCTCACCAGTGGAGAGCAAAATGCAACAGGTTGCATTTTGAAAGCTGTCTTCAAGCTTGGTTGCTGTTTGAAAGCTGTCTTCATCTTTTAGATATAAGACATGTAAAAATATAGAAGTTGTTTGGAGAAATAGTAATAGAGTAGCCATATTCTGCAGCAATGGTGTTGGATATGAAGCAGTTGGAAAGATAAATGTCAGGAGATTATATACATGTAACGCAACATATATATATATATATATATATATATATATATATATATATATATATATATATATATATATATATATATATATATATATATATATATATATATATATATATATATATATATATATATATATATATATGGCTCAATTTAAAAGTCAGACATCGGACATGTCCACTCAATTTACCAAGTAATCGGTCATTTTGACAGACGGGAATTAAATTCTACAAATTAAAGTTTGGACAGGAACAATGTGCAATTGAACGCTTTTGCTGACCACACAAATAATTTTTTTTGTTTACAGAATGTTTTGATGATTTAAACATTTCAGAAAACCTAAACTTAAACTAGGAAAAAATTGAAAAAACTAAAGAATAAGCAAAGTAATTCCTTACGAAAAAGAAAAAAAATTATCTTTAAAATATAAAACTAAAAAAACTAGAAGTTAAAATTACTTATTGTTAAGTTTTTAATTGCATTTGAAAAAAATTACTTTAAAATAAAATTACACAAAATCTTTAATTTTGAGCGATAGAAATTAAAATTCTATAAAATAAGTACTTTATTATATTTATAAAAATTAAAAGTAAAGTAAATTAAAAATAAATTAAAAGCTTTAAAATAAAACTAAAAAAACTCGAAGTTAAAATTACTTTTTGTTGCGTTTTTAATTGCCTTTGAAATAAATTACTTTAAAACTTATCTTTTGAAACATTTTATTAAAGTTACGCCAAACGCTTTTACAAATTACTTTCATTGAATGTTTAATAAATGAACAAAAGAAAAAAATTTAATTTTTTAATTTGTATAAACATTTTTTTCAAAAAATTGCAAAAAAAACAACTTTAAAACAATTTTTGTAAAAATCGAAACCAAAAGAAAAATAAAAGAAAGATTTAATTAAACTTATAATTTAAAGTAACTTAAAAAAATAACCTTTTAAAAGATTTTTAGAACGACTCTGAAAAATAGTTTCAAATGTTTAAATTTATCATAAAAAATACATACTTTATTAAAAAAATTTAAATATAAAATTTTATTTACACATAATGCCTTTATTTTTAAATAATCATTATAATTAATTTTGGATTTGATTTTATTTTAAAGCCTTCACATAAAATAAAAACTTTGAAAAAGATCAATAATAAAAAGGTATTTGTATTATAACAATCTTTTTAATTGCATATAAATTGTTAAAACATCAAAACAGCCGTTGTCAAATTGTATAGGAAAAAAAAAATTGTCAGTTACAGCGTGAAAGTCTAAAAAAAACGTGCAATATTAAATTTAAACTATTTTATTAAAAAAAAAAAATACGATTGTTCTAAATGAAAGAGTTCAGCGCATAGCAACAAAAGTTTTCTCTATCAAACATCTCCCATAGAAACAACATTTAAATATATATTCAGATTGACAACACTAGAAACATATAAACAACATTTAAATATATATTCAGATTGACAACACTAGAAACATATAAACAACATTTAAATATATATTCAGATTGACAACACTAGAAACATATAAACAACATTTAAATATATATTCAGATTGACAACACTAGAAACATATAAACAACATTTAAATATATATTCAGATTGACAACACTAGAAACATATAAACAACATTTAAATATATATTCAGATTGACAACACTAGAAACATATAAACAACATTTAAATATATATTCAGATTGACAACACTAGAAACATATAAACAACATTTAAATATATATTCAGATTGACAACACTAGAAACATATAAACAACATTTAAATATATATTCAGATTGACAACACTAGAAACATATAAACAACATTTAAATATATATTCAGATTGACAACACTAGAAACATATAAACAACATTTAAATATATATTCAGATTGACAACACTAGAAACATATAAGCAACATTTAAATATATATTCAGATTGACAACACTAGAAACATATAAACAACATTTAAATATATATTCAGATTGACAACACTAGAAACATATAAACAACATTTAAATATATATTCAGATTGACAACACTAGAAACATATAAACAACATTTAAATATATATTCAGATTGACAACACTAGAAACATATAAACAACATTTAAATATATATTCAGATTGACAACACTAGAAACATATAAACAACATTTAAATATATATTCAGATTGACAACACTAGAAACATATAAACAACATTTAAATATATATTCAGATTGACAACACTAGAAACATATAAACAACATTTAAATATATATTCAGATTGACAACACTAGAAACATATAAACAACATTTAAATATATATTCAGATTGACAACACTAGAAACATATAAACAACATTTAAATATATATTCAGATTGACAACACATGAAACATATAAACAACATTTAAATATATATTCAGATTGACAACACTAGAAACATATAAACAACATTTAAATATATATTCAGATTGACAACACTAGAAACATATAAGCAACATTTAAATATATATTCAGATTGACAACACTAGAAACATATAAACAACATTTAAATATATATTCAGATTGACAACACTAGAAACATATAAACAACATTTAAATATATATTCAGATTGACAACACTAGAAACATATAAACAACATTTAAATATATATTCAGATTGACAACACTAGAAACATATAAACAACATTTAAATATATATTCAGATTGACAACACTAGAAACATATAAACAACATTTAAATATATATTCAGATTGACAACACTAGAAACATATAAACAACATTTAAATATATATTCAGATTGACAACACTAGAAACATATAAACAACATTTAAATATATATTCAGATTGACAACACTAGAAACATATAAACAACATTTAAATATATATTCAGATTGACAACACTAGAAACATATAAACAACATTTAAATATATATTCAGATTGACAACACTAGAAACATATAAGCAACATTTAAATATATATTCAGATTGACAACACTAGAAACATATAAACAACATTTAAATATATATTCAGATTGACAACACTAGAAACATATAAACAACATTTAAATATATATTCAGATTGACAACACTAGAAACATATAAACAACATTTAAATATATATTCAGATTGACAACACTAGAAACATATAAACAACATTTAAATATATATTCAGATTGACAACACTAGAAACATATAAACAACATTTAAATATATATTCAGATTGACAACACTAGAAACATATAAGCAACATTTAAATATATATTCAGATTGACAACACTAGAAACATATAAACAACATTTAAATATATATTCAGATTGACAACACTAGAAACATATAAACAACATTTAAATATATATTCAGATTGACAACACTAGAAACATATAAACAACATTTAAATATATATTCAGATTGACAACACTAGAAACATATAAACAACATTTAAATATATATTCAGATTGACAACACTAGAAACATATAAACAACATTTAAATATATATTCAGATTGACAACACTAGAAACATATAAACAACATTTAAATATATATTCAGATTGACAACACTAGAAACATATAAGCAACATTTAAATATATATTCAGATTGACAACACTAGAAACATATAAACAACATTTAAATATATATTCAGATTGACAACACTAGAAACATATAAACAACATTTAAATATATATTCAGATTGACAACACTAGAAACATATAAACAACATTTAAATATATATTCAGATTGACAACACTAGAAACATATAAACAACATTTAAATATATATTCAGATTGACAACACTAGAAACATATAAACAACATTTAAATATATATTCAGATTGACAACACTAGAAACATATAAACAACATTTAAATATATATTCAGATTGACAACACTAGAAACATATAAGCAACATTTAAATATATTCAGATTGACAACACTAGAAACATATAAACAACATTTAAATATATATTCAGATTGACAACACTAGAAACATATAAACAACATTTAAATATATATTCAGATTGACAACACTAGAAACATATAAACAACATTTAAATATATATTCAGATTGACAACACTAGAAACATATAAACAACATTTAAATATATATTCAGATTGACAACACTAGAAACATATAAACAACATTTAAATATATATTCAGATTGACAACACTAGAAACATATAAGCAACATTTAAATATATTCAGATTGACAACACTAGAAACATATAAACAACATTTAAATATATATTCAGATTGACAACACTAGAAACATATAAACAACATTAAAATATATATTCAGATTGACAACACTAGAAACATATAAGCAACATTTAAATTTTTATGCGGTAGTGGTGTAGTGGTAGAGCGCTCGCTTCATAAACGAGTGGTTCCGAGTTCGATCCCCACCACGTCCCTGGTAGTACCGCGCTCAACTCGTTTCTCCGCGCAGCGGCCTTGCTCGTCAAGGATCGTGTTTCGGAGTTATAGAGTTGAGAGAGGGTTATAACCACAAATAAGTAGCCTCCTCGTCTGTAGTGGCCTTCTCGGCCTTGAGGAGGTGAATTAAAATAAAAAAATATATATATATATTCAGATTGACAACACTAGAAACATATAAGCAACAATTAAATATATTCAGATTGAAAACACTAGAAACATATAAGCAACATTAAAATATATTCAGATTGACAACACTAGAAATGAAAATGAGAAGATTGACAACACTAGAAATGAAAATGAGAAGATTGACAACACTAGAAATGAAAATGAGAAGATTGACAACACTAGAAATGAAAATGAGAAGATTGACAACACTAGAAATGAAAATGAGAAGATTGACAACACTAGAAATGAAAATGAGAAGATTGACAACACTAGAAATGAAAATGAGAAGATTGACAACACTAGAAATGAAAATGAGAAGATTGACAACACTAGAAATGAAAATGAGAAGATTGACAACACTAGAAATGAGAAGAGCAAGAGGAGAAGAGTTGGATGGGCCAACTCTAATAAGACTTAAAACTTAAAAGCCCATCAAACGAACATCAATGCAAGAAAATGTCTTGATATGAAACAAAACTTGCACTAACCAGCAATAAAAATGAACTAATTAAAGTGCTATAAAATTAAAATCAAAAATTTAAAGTAATCCAAACAGTGATCAGCAATAAAAAATAAAAAATTACAATTTTTATTTAGAATTTCTTAATTAATTTGAAAGTGCTTATAAAAAGTCTAAGCATGATGAACTTTTGAAGGAAAAATTTTAAGCGTGAGTTAAATTAAAAACAGACCAAAATTATTTTTTTTTATATATATATAGGAGTTAAGGTAATTTGAATAATATCATCTATTTATTATTGGTTATAAGAAACTTATATCTATTTATTATTGGTTATAAAAAACTTACATCTATTTATTATTGGTTATAATTAACTTATACTAGAAGTCCAAAAATCTTAAGATACTTTTCAAGAAGAAACTTATTTTATCAAGAGCTTGAGGAATATTTCCTAACTTCTCACCTACATATCACATCAACTTAACACCAAGTTAAAAAGCATTATCTGCAACAAAGAACAACAATTTAAATGAGTATTTAATTTGCGCCACAACAGGATAGAACTCCATTCGACTGCAAATGAAATAGATATATTATATAAACAAACTTAAGAAACTTTTAGTATTAGATTAGGAAAATAGAAGTATCAAATTAAAAACTTTCTAGTAGCAACCCATTTGCTTGGTTTCTTATAAAAAACTAGTTTTAATGAAAATAAAAAAATTAAATCTTCAATCTGAATAAATCTTCTATCTTCAGTTAACTTATCTTTAATTATGTCCTCATATTCATTATATTCATTATTTAGCCATTATATCCTTAATGTTTTATTTTTGTACAGTTATAGACAAAAAGATCCAACCACTGATAATTATTATAAATAATTAGTTACAGATGCAAAATATGTACTCGGAAACAAACTAAAAAATCACATGATGTACGGGTTGTGTAGTTATCAAATAAGAGGATTCATTATGTAATGTAATTACATAATTTATTATTATCTTAGAGTATACTTTTACAATTTGTTTACAATTAATACAAAAAAAGAAATGTTAACAAGACTAAACAGAACCCAACCTTCTTTTAAGTTCTTTTATATTGTTCCCAACCTTCTTTTATGTTCTTTTTTATTGTTTTCAACCATCTTTTATGTTCTTTTTTATTGTTCCCAACTTTCTTTTATGTTCTTTTTTATTGTTCCCAACCTTCTTTTATGTTCTTTTTTATGTTCTTTTTTATTGTTAATATAACTTTAGAATTAGAAATGTGTATATTATACAGTACAAAAATGGTTATTTAAAAAAAAGAATTGAGTGGTTGAATCTTTTTTGTCCATGACTGTAAAATTAATAGATTCTAAATGACACAACAAAACAAAATTTTTTTAGTCTTTAAATTACCTGGATATAATTATCAAGCAATTTTTATTGCTGATAAATTATTTTTTTTATGCCAGATTCCATTTTTGATTCTACCATATACATTAATTTCCTCATAAAGATAACAAACTTACTTTTCAAAGGAAACATATTTCATTCCAACATCTTCTAACTCTTCCTTCATTCCTGTTGATCCAATAACAAAAACTTTTTCTGCTTGAACTATATCTTTTGCGTAGACAGCAGCAATATATGCAGATGACAATATCTCCTCCTATTTACAAAAAAAAAAAAAAAAAAATAGTAGAAATATCAAAAAAGGTATACAAAAAATAGAAAAATTAAAAATATAGAGTGTATTTATACAGTGTTAAAGAGTGTAAAAATATAGAGTACATTTTATTGATCAGAGTTTTCCTTGTGTAAATATTTTAAATATTACCCATAATTTAAAACACGGCTATTCAAATATGTTTGATAACTTAAACAAACAAAAAAAATATAACTTTATAAAATATATTTACCTCCCCAAAGCCCAGGGGCCAGAAAAATCAAGAGGATAATCGTTTTTGTTTATGTTAAGTGTTGTTTTAA